CCGTTTTGCGCCGTACTGCTGAAGCCTCTATGGTGAGGATGTGCCAGATCATATTCGAAGACGTTAAACACCTCGAGGTTGAAGCTGGCGATGACGCAAACGCCTTGGATCAGCAAGCTGATGACGACCGCGACAGCGTTAGAATCGAAAACCCCACTCTCGAAGTAGGAGGATTGTCAGCCGAACCTGAGAGCCTGGAGGTACCAGGAATGTCTACCCCAGACCCTGAACGCAGCAGCAGGGACACCACGGCCACCTCTGAAACGGCACTGGCAACTACAAGCGACATGACAGAGGAGACGGAGTCTGTGGATCTTAGGCCTTACTCCCTTCCTTCTGTTCGTGAATTATTCCGGGTATTGGTGAACTTCCTGGACCCTCAAGATCGACATCACACAGATACAATGCGGGTTATGGCATTGCGAATTATTCACGTCGCCCTTGAGGTTGCTGGGCCCTTTATTTCTCGACACCCTGCCTTGGCAGGTATCGCTGAAGACCGATTATGCTGTTATCTGTTTCAGCTAGTAAGATCTGACAACATGGCAATTCTCGAGGAGTCGTTAGTTGTTGCCGGTACGCTGTTGGCCACTTGTCGTGGAGTACTTAAGCTGCAACAGGAGCTGTTCCTGTCTTACCTTGTAGCTTGTTTACACCCAAAGGTTGAGATACCCCGCGAGCCCGGTATCGACCCCTCTCTCTATGCTGGCATCCCACAGACGCCCAAACTGGTCAAACCTTCACAATCATCACAGCCCAGCAGTGGCCGGTCGACTCCAGTCCCTGTCAAGGACCGTCAAAAACTTGGCCTAGAGGGTGGATCCCGGAAGCCAGATGCGCGCCAGGCTATGGTAGAAAGTGTTGGGGTCCTGTCGCGCATGCCGACATTCATGGCGGAGCTCTTCATTAATTACGATTGCGATGTTGACCGGGCGGATCTCTGTGAAGACATGATTGGGCTTCTTTCCAGAAATGCCCTCCCTGATTCTGCAACCTGGAGCACCACAAGCGTCCCTCCGCTCTGTCTTGATGCTCTGCTCCGATATATCCAGTTTATTGCCGAAAGACTTGACCAAGATCCTATCTATGGAGACTTTCCTGACCCTGCGACATTAAGGGAGCAACGGCGAAAGAAGAAAATTATTATCAAGGGAGCAAGCAAGTTCAACGAGAAGCCCAAGGCAGGTCTGGGCTATCTGGAAGCGCAGGGCATCATTAAGGACGCCACAGATCCTGTTGCTGTTGCCAAGTTTCTGAAAGGCACTTCACGGGTCAATAAGAAGGTCCTTGGCGACTTTATATCTAAGAGAGGCAATGAAGAAATCCTCGGAGCTTTCTTGGGCCTTTTTGACTTTTCTGGTAAGCGAGTTGACGAGGCACTTAGACAATTCTTGGAGTCATTCCGACTCCCCGGAGAGGCGCCCTTGATTGCTACGATCGTGGAAGCTTTCTCTGAGAAGTTTTGCTCCCACGACACTACTGGCGAAGTCGCGGACAAAGATGCAGTCTACATCTTGACGTATGCTATCATCCTGTTGAATACTGATCAACATAACCCCAACCTGGACGCCAAGAAACGCATGACGTTGGAGGATTTCGCAAGAAACCTCCGGGGAACCAATAACGGCCAAAACTTTGCTCCCGAGTATCTACAGACTATCTACCAGTCCATCAAGTCCAACGAAATCATCCTGCCCGATGAACATGATAACAAGCATGCCTTTGACTATGCATGGAGAGAACTGCTTCTCAAGACAGAGTCAACAGGTAACCTTGTTATATGCGATACAAACATTTATGATGCTGATATGTTTGCAACGACCTGGAAACCTATTGTTTCTACGCTGTCCTACGTATTCATGTCCGCCACAGATGATGCCGTGTTCGCTCGAATCGTCACTGGCTTTGATGAATGCGCTCGCATAGCCACTAAATATCAGAACTCGGAAGCTCTTGATCAGATTGTTTATTGTCTGAGCCACATGTCGACGTTGGCAACCGAAACACAGTTCAACACTTCCTTGAACACTGAAGTTCAGGCAGGGGATGGTAGCGTTATGGTAAGCGAACTCGCGGTTAAGCTTGGTAGGGACTTCAGGGCCCAACTTGCGACTCTTGTGTTGTTCCGTGTCGTTACTGGAAGTGAAGATCTTATACACAGGAGTTGGAAATATGTGAGTAATCAAGGCTTTTCAGTTGAATGGATGCTCACATTGACAGATGATTCGTATATGGCTCAATCTATTTACCAACTCGCTCATTTCGCCGTTCGCTCCAAGCAACTTGCCAGGCTTACCGCTGCCCCCCATTCCACTGCAAACGCCATCACAAGTCATCGATCGAGTAGCGAGGAATGCGGACACAGGTTTCTTTTCCGCCTTCACATCATACATTTCTAGTTATGCTGCCGACGATCCTCCTGAACCATCCGATGAGGAGTTAGAAAGCACACTTTGTACTATCGATTGTATCAAGTCATGCAATATGAATGCGGTGTTTGAAAATATTGCGTAAGTTGTACTTTTGCATAGTCAGAATCGAGCTAACTACCTAAAAGTAACCTAAGCCCATCCGTCGCTAAAGTCATCGTCGAAACACTTGTTGATCAACTCCCCGAGGATTCTAACACAACCGTAATTAGTGTTAAGCATGAGAGTCTGCCTACGTCTCCCACGAATGGTCACGTTCGACCGCCGGGGCATTTGGAGTACGATCCAAGCGTTGCGTATATACTAGAGTTCTGTACACTCTTGGCGTCACGGGATGCAGAATCCATCGAGAGCATGAGTAAAGTTGTCTTCGACACGCTACAAGGCGTTCTTCGCGATCCAGCCCGATACCATGCCATTACAGTTTCCCGGGCGTCTTTCTATGCTCTCAAGCTACTCAATATCAGCTACGTAAGTTTTGTAGCAAAGGCTTTTAAACTTGCAGCTAATCATATAAGGATCATGACTTCGTCAATGTTCCATTTCTGCTTCATACGATCTCGACCTTGCCACAAGAGGCTTTGGGAAAGAACTCGGATCTTGTGTTGCAAGGCCTTTCGCTTTGCATCGAGGAGTCTGGCCCGTTGAAACGAGAAATGATGACGTCCCCTGACTTTTGGGCAATACTGCGAGCCTTGGCTCAACGCCCAGAATCAGCGGCACTTGTTTTCGAAATTTTGGAGAAGGGAACTGCTGGAACCCCTCCGGCTATCATGGCAGATAACTACGAGGCAGCAATATCCCTACTGAACGACTTTGCCTCTGCTGCCACCCCTCGGCAACCTAATATGCAGACCCGAAGCCCTAGACCCCAAAGGCCAGCCCCCTCCAAGCAAGACAAAAAACGGTAAAACTTGACAGACCCCAAAGCTGTAAACATGACACTGATATGATCCCAGCAATGCGGAAGCAGTTGGTCGAGGCTCCAAGGCTGTCAACATGCTTTATAATATGACGGATCGAATCCCACATCTTATGCAACAGTCTCAGCTTGAGAGCAGTGAAGGTGTGCCATCCTGCAAATACTATTATTCCAATTGCGATGTTAACAAATCCACAGCCTGGTCTGCGTATTGGCTGCCAATCTTTCAGGCTTTGACCACTCAGTGTGCAAACCCATGTAGAGACGTCCGACAGCTTGCCTTCTCCGCCCTTCAGCGGTCTCTTCTGTCCCCAGAGTTGACCTGCAGCGACCCTAAAGAGTGGACTGCTATTTTTGGCAAGGTTCTGTTTCCATTAATCATCCAGCTGCTCAAGCCTGAGGTCTTTCTGTCCGATCGAGATGGAATGAGCGAGATGAGAGTCCAGTCTGCCTCTCTTCTTTGCAAAGTCTTTCTCCAATATATGGTACTCCTCTCAGGATGGGACGGAATGCTGGATCTCTGGATCAAGATCATTGAGATTATGGATCGCCTTATGAACAGTGGCCAGGGTGACAGTCTTGTGAGTTAACCTATCCAGCTGTGTAATGATACAGGCACTGACAAACAGTAGGAGGAGGCTGTTCGTGAGAACCTGAAGAATGTGCTGCTCTTTATGGCTAGTAGTAAGTATCTTGTGTCACCCCACACAGATCCGTCGAAAGAGCAACTCTGGTCAGAGACCTGGAAGCGCATAGATCGATTCCTACCTGAACTCCGTGGCGAACTCGCTCTTGATGAGCCCCCGAATGAGAACAAGACAGACAATCAGACCACTGAAGTGTCGGCACAGCTTTCGGAGAAGGAAAGGGGGGTCGAGAGGAAGACTGATACCGAAGAGGACCAGATTGCTGGCGACCCCGTTACGACAGAAAAAGCTGCCGAAGTATAAATCTTGCTTCGCTGGAAAAAGACTGGGAAAAGGCAGAGTCATCAAGATTATGTGACCAAAATATCTGCGCATCGGCGTTTGAACGGGATCTACTATGCACTTTAGATGTTTACTTGACAGAGGACTTTGTACAAAATGACAAATAGAAGGCCTCTATCATCGGCTCCAAGAGCTGGATTGACAGATGTTTGCTTGAGATAAACAGGAGGACAAAAGCTTGAACTAGAATGCATCCACCTACTAGTATCAAACAGTTGTGATACAAATTCTCGCTTTTATCTCAAGCATGTCCTTAAGGTCCGATATGGATTGATTGATTGCTACCTATGGCTTGAAAGTAGGCTTTGTTGCAGCGTGTTTACAAGAGTTGGTATATTTGAATGTATTGTTTTTGGTTGGCAGCCTTTTTGTGGACCAGCACCTCTGACGTTCGTTACCTTAGTCATTCATTCACTCACTCATATACCTATTCTGGCTGAGAATGTGCACCTCGAAAGACCAACCTAGGTACCTACCTACCTACCTTACCTTAATCACCAAAGACGCCCAATCTCTGACATGCACTCGCAGTCTTAGATATGCCTTAGGCACGTGTTTATGAGGCAGCATCCTTTTCTTTCTACCTACTAATCTTTTCGGTCTCACACGTGCAGCGGCCCCACCCAACGTCAAATGCTTCAACGCTCTTTGCGTCTTGCGATGAAGAGAAATCTCGACTCATTTCTCAAGGAACACTATTCGTTGACTTCCAGCTCGGTCACGACCCAAAGCGCGCCCTCTCCCAAAGTCAAAGTCAAAGTTCCTGGACCGCCTGCCAAGGTTCTCAAGTCCAACATGGTGACCACCACCGTTCAACTCACCAGCAAGGAGCAGCAGCTCCGCCGTCTGCTTCTTGATGTTGCCAAGGACATAGACGAGTCCGGAAAAGCTCCAGAGCCTATTGTTCTCCGTTGGGCCGGTGGCTGGGTACGCGACAAGCTACTCGATATCCAGAGCCATGACATAGACGTGGCCATCAACGCCATGACTGGGGTTCCCTTTGCTCAAGCTATGTGCGATTACTGTGAAAGACCAGAAGCCATGTCAAAGCACAGCATTGGCCCCGCAGATATCGGAAGCCTCCACAACGTTGCGCGCAACCCTGAGAAGTCTAAGCATCTGGAAACGGCCATGGTCAAGATGTTTGGCCTGGATCTCGATTTCGTCAACCTCAGAAAGGAAACCTACACCGAAGACAGTCGAAACCCTCAAATGGAATTCGGTACAGCTGAAGAGGACGCTCGCCGTCGCGATGCCACCGTGAACGCACTCTTCTACAACTTACACGACGATCGTGTTGAAGATTTTACAGGGGGGCTTGCAGATATGGAAGCCAAAGTAATCAGAACCCCTTTGGAGCCCTTCAAGACCTTCATGGACGACCCTTTGAGGGTTTTGAGACTTGTTCGTTTCGCCAGCCGGCTGCAATTCACAATTGACGCCAGCACGCGCAGATTCATGGCAGACCCAAAGGTCCTTGAGGCATTGCGCGCCAAGATCAGTCGAGAGCGAATTGGCGTAGAGTTGGAGAAAATGCTCAAAGGTTGTTGCGGCATCTTGATCTGATATGATCTGATTTGAAAGGCATGTACTAACCTCCAGGTAGGAGATCACCCTTTTGACGCACTTCAACTCGTCCATGAACTACGACTCTTCCATACAATCTTTACCGACCCAACCCAGGAGAGCCTCCCAGTCCCCGACATATCGCGCTGGGCTGTTGCTTATACTTGTCTTGATGAGCTTCTGAACGATCGAGACTCGACTTCCGTCGCTGGCCGACTAATTACATCCACGGATGCCACCTACTCCGCTTGGAACCTTGCCGCTCTCTCTCCATGGATGACGGTTGAAGAGCCTCCGAATCCTCGCAGGAAAGCAAACGCTCTCCCTCTCGTGGCCATTGTCTCGCGCGAAGGCTTCAAAGCCCCAAATCGACTTTCTAGTATTGTTGCTGCTTCGCATCGCAATCGTGACGAAATTTTGAAGTTGAAACGCGCCGTCTGCAATGGAGAGTCGTACATCCACGAACGAGATCGTTTCGGCATGGCAATCAGGAAGTGGGACACGCCCGCTGGTACCTGGAGACTGCAGGTTTTGAACGCACTACTCGTCGAGGCCTTGGAAACCCTCACAGCATGGCGCCAAGAAGCGTCAGCAGGTAAAGGTGATACCATTTCCCCTTCCCCCATGAACATCCAAGTAACCTGTTTCTAGAACAAAGTAACTTCTTAGCAGGCTGGAAGAGTTTCCTCGACCACCTCGCCAAGTTAGACGTCTATGAGGTCACGACACTCGAAAAGCTTCTTGATGGCGGAAAGCTCGCCAAAGCACTTGGTGGTATCAAACCGGGGAAATGGACAGGTCCGGCTCTAGATGTCTGTGTTGCATGGCAACTTCGCAACCCTGGCGAAACAGACCCAACAGGTGCGATAGAAGAAGTACAGCGGCGGAGAGAAGAGCTTGGGATACCGTGATTAAGGAGCTCAGTTAGTCTTGGTTCTAAATCGGCAGCTCTGCATATACACCGGTGCAGCTTATGCTAGGTGTGTCAAGTATTGGTCTAGGCTAAGCTGCCATGACTTGACTATCATGATGGATGCACGACCTGCATGAATGCAATGGATATTTAAGGCAAAAAGACCGCCCTTCTTGCAGTTGACGCGAACGAGTGCAATGATAAAGAACTTGACAAGCAGTACACTGAGACTGACAAAGTTGGTTAACCTGACCATGACGAGCAGACAGCCGGTTGCTATACAGTGCGACCAATTGTGTTTCGATACCGTACCCAGGTACGTACCAAGGTAGTCTAGGTATGTGGACCCAACCAACGTACTAATCTACCTGGCATCCTGTCTCAATGGAAGATCTGACGTTCGCTCTTCATTCTTGTCACTCACCAACATTCAATCAACGATAAGATGCCAGTCACTGACTCTGATGCCATACTTGGCGCCTTGGAAGAGCTCCTTGGCCCTTCAAATACAGGATTGTTGCATGAAATCTCGGGTATGTGCTTGACTCAACATAAGCTTCAAAGCATCGAATTGACCAGGATCCATTCCTCCTTTCAGGAAAGTCGGAGCAATTTCGAGCAGAACCTAACAGTGTGATATCTTCCTTGGTTGAATCCAATAACGCAGTGCGTTTTCCCATACGCCTGTGACGCTATCTGGCTCAGAGAAACAGCCACGAACTGACAATCGTTGACTCTAGAACCTTCGCCGATCCGTTCTCAGTGTAATCAACCATGCCTCGTCTTCAGAGGACAACTTGGACCAGAGCCAATTATTGAGGCTTGTGGCAGTCGTCAGTGAGAAAGCATTGACGTTGAGGAGCGTTGAAGGTACATCAGCGTGCGTAAATCTATCACTTCTGTAGTTTGACTAACATCCCAAAGAACACTCGGAACTCCTCACAGAAGCAGCTGTTGCCAGTATCAGTGTCTTGTGCTCGAAATATCGCATTATTCTGGACCAGATTACTCTCGTGAAGCTCACAGCTGTTACTGATCCCCAGGACCCATGGACAACTGCACAAGCTGCAGCTGCAGCCTCAAAACTTTTGTCCAAACACCTTGAAGGTGAAAGTCTGAACGAGTTTATCACCAACACGGTCCTTCAGAAGCATTTGAAGCCATTGTTTATGAAATCGTCCTCGCGAATCACGGCTTCAGGACGGCCCTCCCAGTATGACATGATTGACGATCGGTCCCGACCCGTGATTGAGGTGCAATCATGGAGAACTCAGGCCCCGTGGGCAGAGGCTACAATACAATGGACAGTAAACATGTCTACGGTAAGGTCGTGCCGGCAGAAATGCGATTAGTTGCGCTGACACTCACTGGTAGACGTCCCTCGTTAAACAGCACTGGCCGCTTTTCTTACCAGTGCTGTTGGCGCTGGTGGAGAACGAGTCTACCAAGACCAAGTCCAGAGGTTTAAGGACCACGAGGGAATTCATCAACAGATGTCCAGCTCAAGTATTGCAAAACACAGGTATAGGCCGTGTATTTGCAGACGTCGCATTCCCGCTCCTGCTCCATCTCCCCAGCGTCACACCAGAGGATGAGTCTACGACCATACTCATACCGGCTTACGACATGCTTATCAAGCTGGCCCAGTCCACCGGCGATACCAACAGTATTGAGCGTCGCCGATTATTTGACAAGATCCTCAGAGATGGAGTATTCGCAGGCTATTTCCATGCTTCTCAGCACACTCGAATTGTCCAAGCTCTGTTACAGAAGGCGACAGCAGTAATCAATAGTCTGGGTATTTATACAACCAAACATCTGATTGTGAGTAACCACTTATTACCGAAAAACGTCTCGGGCTTTCTTTAATACGTCTGTGCCAGCCTCTTCTCTCAATGGTATCATTAGTCATGACAGACCCCTTTGCAGTCTCATATCCTCCAACCCTGATAGCGGCGACGCAAACCATGAGCGCCGTTATTACTAATTCATGGCCTCGTATCCGAGAAACTGAGCATATGGAGAATGTTGCCCGAATTCTGTCATTATGTTGGTTAAACGTCTCTGAGGAGATTGAGCATGGGGCATCTCGGACTTCAGCTGATATCAACACGTTGTTACGAGAGTTAGCACACGCAGCTCGAATTCTTCAGGCACTTTGGGCACATGATGCCTCTAACTGTCCCGCGAAGCTGACTGAAGCCTTGAAGCAAGAACCGCGGCTGTCTCATCTCTTCCCAAAAATGCTGGCGTGAAGGCTGAGCGGCTGTTGCTAAGACTCAGTCTAGGGGCTGTTGCTTGAAGAAAGACTTCCCACGCAGCCATTTCCTGTAGGCTTTGTATCGTTTCTTCGGACCATCTTCCTCAGTCACTGTTAGAGGGTTTTCGCCCACCTTGAGCAACTCAGCGTATACATCGATCTCCTCTTCAGTTCCTTTGACCATTAGACCTTCATCTTGCCAGTCACCGCTTACATACTCCTGATACTCAGACGCATCCACGTCCACGGGCGTATCGCTTGAGATGACGAGAGGAAGGTTTTGAGGATGACGGATGTATCGCTCGTAATCTTCGGATTCCTGCTCGGCAACAGAGGGATTCAGTGAGTCATGGACAGCTTTGGTGAAAGTCCATTGTGCAGCCTTGGATTTCTCCAGGGCTGTTGGCTTCGTCTTGGGGCTATGTTCAGATGCCGGCACTGGTTGATTCGTGTCCAGTCGCAGAGAGCTGGCGAGTGCACCTTTGTCTTGAACAGGTTGCAGCCAACGCTGGAGCGAGATCCCTTTCGCTGGTGATCGGTTCAAAATCGAATCTGGCGCCCCATTCGCTCCCACAGTCTGCCCTCGAGAACTTGTTACATTTGCGTGTGGATGAGCATCTTTCTTCGACTTCTTTTTCTCACCGTGCTCAACTTCATTGTCGGTTCGGACCCGGAAAGGGCTGAGGTCGTAGCGGCCATCCTGGGTGGACTTGAGGGGAATGTATTTGATAGTTGAGTTCATCTTGTAGGCAAACATCTTGGGGAAAGAAGAGAGGGTCGATGGCCTGTAATACTCGAGCCAATAATCATCAAAGAATTCAACCGGATGAGCGCGGGCAATGTCTTTGCTGGGTACGTATGGTGGAATTGTTCGTTTCTGCAAGTGAGCTGGAAAATACCAATTGATGTAGTCGTGCTTCAACCTGGCGGACCAATCTCGTGGATCGGCATGATGGAGGTAGTAGTCTGTTGCCAAGTCCCACAGCATAGGTTGGCCTTGAGTGAATATGTAATTACCGAGGAATAAGTTATAGGCCTCCTGACGTTGACTGTCCAGGAAGGAGTTATTGTAGTATCGCTTGAAGCTCTCGATCATGTCTCTTGAATGACTTGTCCATTGGTTAATTTTGCGGTAAGTTTCCATGGTATTGACCAGTTGTGAGCCGCCGTACTGAACAGCAATGGTATCGCCATGATCATGCCACATGTGAGTGAACAAATTGACAGCGTCCGTGTCGTAATCAACCGACATGTCCTCAAGAATGCCAAGGGCATGTAGCTGGTGACCTAAGGCTCGCTTGCCGATGACAAACTGCGCAGCATTGGTACGGTCCAAGCAGTCGATGCAATTTGTTCTGGCGACTCCATTCTGTGCAGTCATGGGGCTCGTGAGACCGTCTCCGTTTCGGAAGAAGCCCGTCGTAGCGAGGACCGACTCTGCGATAAGCTCGAGGTTGCCAATAACGTCCCCACCACGCACTTTCGATGCGCGACTCATGTCCCACGCTTTGTGAATAATCTTCTTGCCCTCAGGCAGGAATTGGTTGAGATAGTTGATGGCATGAGTATATTCCTCCAGTAGCTTTGATTCACGAGGCGTTCGCTCCTTGGACTTGATCAGGTTAACAACATAGATCGGCGCACCGTAACGCTCGAACAGGTTATCGAAGTGCAGAGCGGCGGCGCCATAGAACGGATCAACCAAATTAAGCTCAATCGGGGGTTTGGGTGTGACGCCGGTGCTGTCCTGTGTCCAGTAAAGCGGAATACTCCCTCTATGCTGAACATAGGAGGTGTACTGCGGGCTACAGTATAGTTGAGGACCAGGTGCGTGGAACGACGTGGTCAGTGACTCGGCTACGATTTGTTCCGTCTCGACATCGTTGGCAACATAACCCTAGGGGTATCAGCGCGAGAGTACCAAGAAGAGAAAGCCACAACCACTTACAAGATCGTTGGCTCCACGTTTCAAGAATCGAGCACCGGCAAAGTAGCGCGAGCGCCTTGCGATGACAGTGATGTGTGCCGTACGGCCGTAAATTGATAGAGCTGTTGAAGGTCAGCACGGAGCATGGACATAAGAGCTGCATTGCCGTTTGCCAGACTCACCCGCTTGATCAATGTATCCATGTATAATTGGACGACACCAATCATAGGGGTCCCGAAGAGCAGTAACAGCAGGCTGTAGGAGATAGTCGTTCCAGACAAACATAGAGTTGAAATCATCGTCGTCTGGCGGCAGCATTCCCTTGGCAAGAGCATCGCGCTCCCGGATGACGTTATGCTGCAAGGTACGCGTAACGTCGTAAGAATAGCTGTAATAGAAAGAACGAGTCAAGTCGAGGTTGTTCAAGATGCCGAGGAATCGTTGCTCCTCGGTATTGCGGGTATCTGGCTTGAACTTGGCGGGAGTCAGGGAAACAAGCTCAGTGCCCTCGATCTGATATATGTAGTGGCCTCCGACCATAGCGACAGTGCTCTTTTTCGTGATGAGAAGCATGTAATAGGGCCCAGTGAACTTGATAAAGCCAAGGAGGCCCCATGTGGTGCAGCGAAGCTTGATGCCACCGGTACCTCGGTTCCCGTCATCTATTGTGTCGAGCAGTTGGTTCATCTCCTTCAAACTATAAACAATCTTGTCATCCGTCACGTTGAGCTCAGCACCCTCGGCGGTGCGGTCGATCTTGAGGATTCGATAGCGCTTTTCGCTAACATCAACACCGACGATGTAATACCGACTGGCCGTTTCGTAGAGACTGAACTTGTGCATCTTGTAAATCAGGCGATCAGGGACGCGGTCATCGAAGGTGTGTGGGAATGCGCGTGTGGACGGGTCGGGGCTCGTTGTTCGCATAAACGGCTTCGCTACGGCGGGCTCGTCGTCATTGTCGTCTTCACCGATCGTGGGGCCGCCAGCGGCTTCTGAAGACAAGGGACTTCCCGCGCCATTGTTCTGAAGCGAGGGGAAAACAGGTCCATCGTCGATGGCGTCGTTGGTAGTTGGCAGGTCGCCTACCTCAGGGCCTGAGCTGAGGGCCTCTGGAACACCATACTCAGACATTCTGACGAGTGCGTGGCATGCCCGAGCGCGGGCGAATCGCAGGAGAGAATGTACCTATCTTTGAGCATATAAACTAATGAGTCGCATCGAGTTGACCAGGCGAATGTGTCTGCTGTTGCCTGTACATGAAGAATGTTGCGTGTCGTAACCAGTTAAGGTAGGTAGGTAGAGAAGAACACTTAGTAGGTACTGTGGTAGGTGAATACGACGAAATGATAGAGCCGGTTCCTGGCTCAGAGACCAAGCAGGGGTCGATTGTCGGCGGTTTCCTCGCAGTCCCTTATCGTCGTGCAACCCACCCATAAGTTATAGACAATAGACCCCACATCGCATCTCAGTTGATGACGTTGTAAGTGTCGTGTGCCGGCGGTCACATGTCTATGAATTTACTATGTAGTTGCCGTTTATCTTACAAACAAACACTCAGTCGAAATCAATATTACCTACTAAGGTAGGTAGCCTTTTCAACATGGCACTATTCTAGGTACCTACTATTCTACCAACTCCAAATACGTACACAGGATCTCCGTCTGCTCCAACGCAAGTCAGTCTTTAGTTATTCTCTGCTTCACCCACCCATGGATTTGAGCTCCATCGGTTCTAGCCCGCCTGCATCGGCTCATGAACTTGCCGATCTAGTAAACTAACAACAAACTACTGTATGTACCCCATCCTTAGTAGCAGCTCCCCTCGTGCAGCTCTCATTCCGGGGTAAAGCTAAAGCCTCTTGGCTTAGGCGAACTATCCGATTCTCATCATTGCTAGATCTCCATGTCAAGTACTACCTAGCCAGTCCAGAGACCTGGTACCTAAGGTAGGTAGTCTCTCGCTCAGCCTAGGTACTACTAAACTAATCTGTCCGTCGACGGAGTACAACACGCGACATTCCGCTATATTTGCATATCGACCCTCAACTCATGTTCATTTGATATGTGTCGATACAACCTTGCCAACGGCATTGGCTCGGCGTCTGTGTCGAGCATATCTTTGTCTGCAACGTCTTTGACTCTCGTTGTCATCACATACCTATGTGCATACCTAGGTACTTAACTAGGTATCTAATAATGTATGTACATACGTCCTCATGCTTGACCATTTGCCACCGTGGCTGCATAAGTTGTGTTGCATCTGTCAGCTCTTTGCCGAGCTGAGCTACCAACGGTTGGTGGTGTCTCGCGACATTGATCCAATTGCCTTCTCTCAAGGACCACCACCACGCCTCGAATAGGTTCGTGTCTGCTAAAAAGCCACCTTCCGGCAAATGGCTTCCTGAGGCGATGAGCAACATGGTCACGGTACCTTTGTCTAGCTTGCATGTTAGCCATATAGTGTTACGACTACCACCACCTTTGGCTTTTGTTTCCAATCAAGGGCCACAGACCATTGCTAGAGGCTGGCTGATCATACACTCAATCGTCATCGCGGTCGAGCTACCTAGGCTACCTCTTTGATAGCGGCAACCTCCTGAAGTATTTCTCAACCACTCACCAAGAACCCTTTGTATTGTGACCATCACGTTGACGTCAATGGCCGTGATGGTCTAAATCCAAGCCACGTCCAGATGCCTCCTTACGTAGCATTGGCTGTATCTCTACAAGAGATAAGGTACGCCACTACAAGCGTCAATCTGCAACCGCTCTTGTCTAACCTTCCCATGCCCATCCATTTCAGTGCAACTAACTGCCTACCTTACAAGCCAAAATAGAGGTACCTACCTAAGGTACCTAGGTAAGGTAGGCAGGCAGGCAGGCATTCATCTTGCGGGGTAATTTAGACACCTCCATTACCTGCCTACCTACCGACTAACCTATCCATTTAATACTTCCAAAGGCAGTATATAAACGCCTCGTTGCCCACCGATCTCGACTTGATCCCTTCAAATTCTTCTTCCTTACCTATCAACTACCTAGAATTGAAGATACCCCAAAACATTTGTACTCAGAATCTTTCTTTCTTTTCCTCCCTCGTCTACAAAAACTCTTTCAACGACCCAGACACTGAACAATGGAGCAAGCTATTAACACCCAAGAGGGTACCACACAGCCCCTGAACGAAACGCCTGTTGTTGGGTCTCCCCCCCAGGATCGTAGAGCAAGCGATGCCGCACAAGACCGGAGAATGAGTGATGAATGGGGTACGTACAATATATCCAAACAATTGTGCATCGGCAACTAACTGAGAAATGCTTAGATGCGTCAAAGGTACCCCCCAGCCGTTTCCAAAAACGTAAGGGTTCCATCTATGCTACTCCTGGATCCCGTGATGGTCATGTCGACAGGAACTACCAGGACAAGTACTGGTCTAAGATGACCGAGAAGAACTGGGGCAGCGGCAGCAAGTAAACAGCGGGAGCGAGTGTTGCGTAATCAGGTAGCAGGAGTTTGGTTTCATGATTAATTGTCGAGTTCACAGCTGTAAGATGAGAGATGAAATACGGAAATTAAGGGAATAGTTATCTTAGTCAAACGTCTCGCAAGCCCTACTATGCAAAGAAAAACCTCAATTAGACAATCTACTTGGAACTGTCCATCATTCATCAATGCCATCGATTTCAATGGCGTCGGGATTTGAAGCGACTGTCGTTGTAGCTGGTATGCCTCCAACTGGACCAGTACTGGCTGCCACGAATCCCTGCGGTGCTCTGGACTGCCTCTCCAGTGCCGCCATGGCATCCGTTATCTCGGCATCGTCTGCTCCTCCGGGACGACGTTGGCTGCGCGCAAGGGCTTGGGATGCAATAAAGTTGACATCCGTGTTGTATTGCGCCTGGACACTTCGCTTGATACGTAACATTTCTTTGAATGTATCTTCGTTACCGTGCTGCACTTCGAACTGCTCCCATTTCGTCCAGAAGTCAGGGTTTGTGCGAGGGTCACAGAACTGCGATGCATGGCCATAGATGGCGCGAGCCCGGTCAATCTCACCCAGCCTCTTCTCCATGTCCGCAAATTTGAGGCACATGTCCTTAGCTTCGACATCTGGGAGAGCAGCGATGGCCCTCTCATAAATTGGTCTGGTCGACGTCAGGCCGAAATTGGAGGCAGATTTGGTGATATAGAAGTTGAACATGTCAGCCCGGTCCTCGTCCGCCACTGCTCGTGTGGCCCGCTCGTAAATTCGCATTGCATGACGGGCTAGGCCACGTTCCTCTTCCAAGTTGCCATACATGAGGTAGATCGTCTTTGCGAACTTCGGGGGGCAATCTTCCACGGCTTGCTCGAATAGATCGCGAAGTCGTTCTATCCCGATCTTCCGATCAACGGCCTTAGTAAGATACAAGTTCCAAAGCTCAAAAGCAACGGGGTAGCTGAATAGGTCTAAGCCGCGCTCATAAATCTTGAACGATTCCTCATAATATTTGTGTTCCTCGAGCAGATTGGCATAGTTGACAACCGTCTGAGGTGTTGCAATTCGGAGCTCAAAGATTCGTTCATAAACCTTTTTGGTCTCATCCAAAGTAGACACGCTTTCAACGAGATCGACGTAGAAGCTCCAGAGTTTCCAGCTCTTGTGGACTCTTTGTTGTGGTGACAAGGTCTCGTCGAAGTAGTCCACAGTGGAGCGCTTTGGCGCCTGAACTGCTTTGGCCATGATCCGGACGGCGTCGTCGAAATTCTCATTTCGTAATTCCATTTCTGCCCATTCAATCCACATATCAGCAAGCTCGGCCACTGACTTGAAGGGCACCTTGATCGCCTTCTCCATGATGACCCGGGCGTTTCTCAGGTCACCTCCGCGTTCATAAAACTTTGCGTAGTTGGCCCAGAGCTGATGAAATGCTCCCACAGCGCGTTTTGGCTGTATTGCCGCAATTGCATCCGTGTACGTCTGAGCAACCTCTTTCTTGTTATCGCCCCAAAGGGCAACTCTCTTTTCCCACTCTGGAACGTTGTTTGGATTCTGGCGTAGCAGGACGTCATTTAGGAGGAATGGTCGCCTGTCCATGAGTTGTTCAAACCGCATCATTCTGATATCCAGCTCAAAGTCCGCGTTTTCGTCTTCTACCCCTTTCTCGGCCCTTGCAGACGCAACCTCCATGAGAGCACCGATGATAGACTCTTCAAATTCGGTGTAAGCCTCGAAGATAAGGGTGAAGTCTCTCACTGTCATAACCGTGGTGATCCCCTCTTCAAAGACGTCGCGAGCCCGTTCAAAGCTGCCTCTCCGGATCCAATAAGTAGCGAGGCCTGACCATAACTTCCCTCTTTGATCCGCAAATCTGGAAATACCACTTCGGATTATACGTTCGGCGTCTATGCCAGTTTCGCATCCTGTCTCGATTTCGGCGGCGTGTTCAACAATAAGATCTACCATTTCGCTCCAGAGTTCATAATGGCCTTTCCCCTGCTTGCTGTTGAACCTGGCGTTGTTAAGAACATCTATAAATTTCAGCGCGGCCTCTGTGTAAAGCCCCGTTTGGATTAGTAGTTCGATAAAGTCCTCGGCATCTTCAGGATGCACCTGCATATAGCGTCGCCAAATTTTCACAGCAGTTTCGCCAGCGGCTGAGTTCGCAAATGGGCGATAGAAGGCCCAAATACGATTGTGCTGAGATATGGGAAGAGCTCTTAGAGCTCGGTCGAATGTGCGTCGGGTGAGAGTAACAAGAGGTTGTTTCGTCAGGAACTTGAGGTACATTTCCCATATCCGCGGCATTTTGTGTAGTAGATTGAGGGCCTTTTCGAAAAGGGTGTTGACTTTGCGATATTCTGCGGCGAAGAATGCTGGATTCAACTTTGCAACGTGCTTAAGTCGAAAGGAGAGATACTAGATATTGTTAGGCTTGAGTATTAGGCAACGGATGCCATTCCATGGGTTTCATCATACCAATTTCCATAACTTGTATGAGCGCGGCAATTGAGCGCAAGCTCGCTCCATCACATACGTTTGCTCAAGGATGGTTCCGTGATGTGTTTTGAACTCAATGTATGCCAGCCAGGGCTTCACACTACCAGGATCGCGAAGGACATCTTGCTCGTAGACGGAATCCTCGTTGGACTGAAGGATTTCGGTCAGTTGAGTATCATACGTGATGCGCATCGTGTTTGTGTACTTACTACGAGATGCAGTTGCGGCTGTCTGCGCGCTCCATTTAGAGCGTGATCAATTGGAGCCATAATGATGATGGTATTATAGATCGTTGAGGAAATGGCTCAAGGAACTTCGCGAAGATGGCAGTTGAGTCGAATCAACGTGAACCGTACATCGTCGAGGCAGCTGGAAATGCCAAAAGACGTCGCTCCGAAAGCCACAATGTGCCTCGTATAGGCCCTAGTCTGGCCTGAAGCGCCAACTTAACACCCCCGAGTGTCGCTGGCTCCTTAAGGGCTTCGGCGAAAGGCAGCTAGAGGACTCCTGGGTTGCTCGATCTTCGGCTGATGAGAACGCGAGGTTGTTGTATTTTTCTGAAGCCCGTGACACCTGGGTCCTCACATTTCAGAGACGGTCCACAAAACCGCTAAAGAGTGGGGCGACCACTCCTCGCTGCTTACGTTATAGCATTGATAGCTGCCCAGCAACTCCGAGTGAACAAAGTCTAGGGGAGCTTTCCAGGGCGGCCGATTAGTCCAGCTAGCGCCTTGGCCCTGTGACGACGACAGCCCAGATACCTTACCTTGAGACAGACAGCTTCAAACTCTAGCCACCACTTCCATACGAACAACACCTAACCTATCCTTCTCATCAAATCTTGCTTATCAAAATGTCGGGGGCCAATGTAAGTCAAAACTTTCGCCCTCTTTCTACGAGTGTGAGAGGCGCTGATGATTGTGGCCTAGGATCGCGAGGCCGTCTTTCCAACCCGGCAATCGCTGGGCATCATGAAGGCAAAGCTTAAAGGCGCAGAGACAGGCCATAGTTTATTGAAGCGAAAGAGTGAAGCTCTGACAAAGTATGTGCAACGCCACATCTCTGCCCACCCATTGTTACGGCCGACTGACCATTGAATGCAGACGATTTCGAGGTTCATATTCCCGACAGGCCCTTGATGTAAACCAATCCTTTCGCCAGCGTACTGATACCCGATAACACAGAAATCACAAGGCGAATCGATGAGGCCAAGCGAAAAATGGGGCGAGTCATGCAAATTGCAGCTTTTTCGCTGGCAGAAGTGACATACGCCGTCGGCGGTGACATTGGATACCAAGTACAGGAGTCCGCCAAGTCTGCTCGGTTCCGCGTTCGTACGAAACAGGACAACGTATCCGGTGTTCTCCTTCCAGCTTTCGAAAGCTACCTTACCGAAGGAAACAATGACTTCGGTCTAACGGGCTTGGGCAAGGGAGGGCAGCAGGTTCAGCGATGCAGAGAAACATATGCGCGTGCTGTTGAGGCGCTGGTTGAGCTGGCTAGTCTGCAGACCGCGTTTGTCATCCTCGATGAGGTTATTAAAGTGGTCAATCGGCGTGGTAAGCCACTCAAAATGTTGTCATCAGCTGTCATACTGACCATCATCCTAGTCAACGCGATTGAACATGTCATTATTCCCAGGACCGAGAACACTATCAAATACATCAACTCTGAGCTTGACGAGCTCGACCGCGAGGAGTTCTACAGACTCAAGAAGGCAGGTTTTAGCATCGCCTGATTCATGGCAATTCATCTGACATATGATAGGTTGCGAACAAGAAACAGCGAGATACTGCTGCAGCAGATGCCGAGATGAAGGCAAGACGTGAGGCGGAAGCATCCACGCAGGGCGGAGACAAGCCCCAGAAAGACGATTCCACACCTGCAGATGTGTTGGGCGCCGGCGACGACGAAGACGTCATTTTTTGATAGGGCGGTAGCTGCATCGGAAGTGTGCGACAAACAGGCTGCCATAGTACAATGCTGGAGTGCAGGAGATAGCTCGACGTGTGTTGTGTTTATTATTAAATAATTATACATCAGCCAACGTTGTGGCTGTGCTAATTAGCAATTACGGCCTTCCTATCAATACTAGCATTCATATTCACTGTCGCTGGTAGGTGACCTTGATGGGTTTGTCTCCTAATTGTAAACCAGCCGTGTTTTCTTTGGCAGTAATAGCGCCTTGTTCCGCCTCGTATTCGACAAATGCGATACCACGACGACCGGGTACCAGCCTGACCTCGCGAAATCCGTCAAATCGGCCGAAGACGCTGGTCAAGGTCTCAATGTCATAGTCTTCGGGGAAATTCTGGACGAAAAGAATTTTGTTGGGTGGGAGGAACTCGTCAAGCACACTGCCGGATGCTGCGGCGCTGGTGGACTTGAGACCAGATGATTTCGCCGCCTTTGCGGGTCGGTTGTCGTTGACTGAGCCAGACCCTCGCTTGTTGATTTGTCTCTGTTCTTCCGCAGACTCAAGGGCTTTGCGTTTGTCTGTATATCCCGCCCACGTTAGCAATGGAGTAAGGTGGGAGATTGAATTGATCATACCCTTCTCAGCCTGTCGATGGCGCTTATGCTGTTCGAGCTCTTCCTGGGAGCCCTGTAATTCAACGGTCTTGTCGCTCTGCGTTCGCGCGAAAGCAAGTTTCATAGGTTTGCCGAAAACCTCGAACCCATCGATTTCGTTGATAGCATCCTGGGCACTTTCAGGGCTATCATAGACGACAAATGCCTGTCCTTTGGCACGTAGATTCTTCTTCGCCACAATGTCGACAACATTGCCGAACTCTGCGAATACTGTTCTCAAGGCATCTACCAATGCATCAAGCTTGACGCGCTCTTCGAGATTTTGGACATATACACTACTGAATGTTAGCAGATATCGCTCACGTGGTGTCGGGTGTGCAATGACACGCACGTGGAGATGGGCATTCTGGAAGCCATAATTTAGGTATACTGGTGAAGAAGGAGCACTTCAGAAATGATCAGGCAGCGATCATGTACTGAGTCGGAAGAGTTAATCCGGTGACATACTATTCGTGTTGATGACTAAGAGACTTTGCGTGCCAGTAGCTAATACCACAGCCAGACCTGGTATATTTATTAGTATATAGCTATTATACTATATTCTTTTAAATTTCTAAGTATATATAAGAGTATGTTTATTTATATTAAAATTATTTATTAATTAAATTAGTTTTATATTATTTAAATAATTAATTATTTTATAAATAATA